CGGTGGATTGTTGACAACGCCGCCTGCGATCACGTGACCTTACGTCATCCCACCCCCTTTTCCCTGAAATCTGTGGCCCCGCATGCGTCCCCTCACCTCCTCTGGGGAACCTAAACCACTTGCGGGGGTGGGGCGAGACAAGGTAGCATCCGGGTTTCTGTGTCCTCGGGTCCAGAGTGTCTCGTGTGGTCACGGAGAACACGATCTGTTGTTAGCTGCGGATAGCCGGCCTGACCCAGTCCGAGCCCGCAGCCCGCTGGCCCGCGGGGCCGCCAGCACAGCGCCCCCCCCCCCGGCTCGCGCGTGGTACAGGCGGAGGGCGGAGGGATCCGGAGGCGGCGGAGGGAGACGTCACTGCGGGTTGTTTGTGCAGCCTCGGCGGCGGCGGCGGCGGCGGCTGTGACCCGCAGTGATTCGGCCGCGGCGCCGGGGGGTGGGGGGGCTCGCGGGACTCTTTTCTTTCAGACTGACCGCGGGGCTGCTGGGGAGCATGTCGACTCCGGCGCGGAGGAGGCTCATGCGGGACTTCAAGCGGTAAGGGCCTTCACCTTCGCCGAGACGCCGCGTTCCCCCGAGCTGCAGGGCGGGGAGCCCAGGCACCTGCCCCTGTGACCCGAGCGGGTCGGCGGCAGCCCAGACCCAGCCTCGCTCTCAGCCCTCCGTGTTTGTCACTCCACTGGCGCAGGAATCTGGACGCTACCACAGCTTATCTTCTCCCGGAAAAGTAAAGAGCTGGCCGTCAGCTGGCCTGGCGTCCCTGCTGCCCACCTCGGCCGGGTGCCCCACGTCTCCTCCAAGCGCTCGGACCTCACCCTCCCGTCCCTGAGCCCCGCGGCCGCCCCTGCCCGGACCCCTAGAAGGGAGCTCCGGCCGGCGCTCGGGCCTCACCTGCTGCACCAGTCAGCTTTGTTGCCACGGCCCGCGATCGCCTTCCCTGGGGAGGCCTCTGGAGCGGGGCTGAGGCAGTCGCCCACCCCCCGAGCCCCGCGCCCCGTCCTCCTGCAGTGCGGGTGGGGTGGCCGCGCGAGGCCCGGAGGTGGTTAGCCCAGCCCCGAAACCCGACTCTGCCTCGCTCGCCCAGAAGGACCTTGAGCGCTGGCCTGGAGAGCTGGGCCTCGGGCCGGCCGCGCTGGCTGCCAGGCCCTTTGGAACTCGTCTCTGGCTGGTGAATAAAGCCCTATCTATAGCCTCCGCGTTCTGGAAACATGCCTTTCCACGGAGGGCGCTAATCCGATACTCCCCAGGCTTCCTTTTGTAAAATAGGGTTTTGTTACGCGGTGTGGGGGTTGTGAGGAGGAAGTGACTCTTCTTTCAGCTTACCTTTTATTGAATCCTTGCAGGTACCAAAACGAAACTTATGAGGAAATTTAGCATTATGTTCTCTACGTTTCTCTGAAAGCCTCCGCCCCGGGTCGGGGAGAGACCCACCTGGTAGAAACAAACATATAATACAAAGAATTAGATTTGCCGCTCAGGAAGTAACCTCTCACCTTCGCCATTGTAAAGCCCTGAGGCTTTTTGAGGCCATTATTTGGGTCCTTGACCAACTTCCTGAGTAATTCATTCATAGCTCCTTTTTAATGGCTTCAGGGTAGCTGTCAAGTAGTAGTACCTCCAAGGCTTTTCGTTGCGCCTAATGTACTTGAATTCAGCCAAAGTATTAACCTTTTTAAATGGACTAAAATGAGATATTGAGGTGACAGTATTGGGAAGATGATCTTTTTGGTCCAAAAGTCTTTTTTTTAAAGTCTTGAAAACAGTTGATCTCAATTCCCATGACTGAAATTCAGATGTTTTCCAGTTTTATCTCCATTATTCTTTGTTCACTGTTGCATTATAATTCTGACTGGAACACACGGCATCTTTCGAAGTTTGTATTGACTCTCCTCGTCCAAAAGGTAGATTTGGTAATAGTGCAGAGCCTGTAGAGACTCCAGAAAGTCCATCTGAAGCTTCTGACTACTTTAAAAAGCCAGGCGGATAAAGTAAAACTTATGCCAAAACTGTTTTCGTAATTGAAGGTGTTTTTAGTCACTGGGTGTGCCTCTCTGTCTCTGCAACATACTGCACAAGTAGCTGTGGTTGATACACACAGACTTTGCTTGCTGAGAGCAGAAAATTGATTGTGCTTCAAAAATATCTTTTGCTGTTGAGGTTTTAAACTTTTTTGGTTCAAGGAAGCAGCCTGTGAATACCAATTCTTTTATTTTTATTTTTTATTTATTTTTTGTGGTACCAGGGACCAAACTCAGGACCTTGCAGGTGCCAGGCAAGCCCTTATTTCACTGAACTATCTCCCCAGCCCACCTGTTCTTAAACAGGTCATATCTTAGGCTTGCAACTTGAAATGAGAGGCTCCCCAAGACATTTGAACTTAGATATTTTGGAAAGATATTTAATAAGTATACATGCCTGGTGGATATACTTAAATCATGTGGCTCATGCCAACTGAATACAATAGCAGGGAAATAAGTTTACTGTCTCAAAGTAGATGGTACAGAGTTCATAGGTGTTCTCTTTGACCTTCTTAGTAATCTTAGTGTTCAAGTTTGAAAATTACCACTCTGAGTCAGACATGGTAGCATACACCTGTGATCCCAGCACTTGGGAGGCTGAGGTGGGAGGGTTGCTATGAGTTCCAGGTCAGTCTAAACTACCTGGGGAAACACTGTCTCAAAAAAAAAAAAGTGAAAATTACCACTCTGGATTTCTAGATTGCAAGAGGACCCACCTGTGGGTGTCAGTGGCGCACCATCTGAAAACAACATCATGCAGTGGAATGCAGTTATATTTGGGTGAGTTGATTTACTATGAAACAGATGTGTGATAATTGTTTAAGAAAAATGAATATAGTTAGGCATGGTGATTCATACCTGGGAGGCTGAGGTAATAAGATTGCAAGTCCAAACCCATTCTGAGTAAGACCCTGTCTCAGAATTTAAGAAAGGCTGGGAATTTAGCTCAGTGCAAAGGCCCAGGCTTCAGTGTCCGGTACCACCAAAAGAAAGGAGGGAATGGGGCCAGGGATATAGCTCAGCAGTGCAGTGATGGCTTGGCAAGCTCCAGGTCCTGCATTCAGTTCCTGGCACCAAAAAAGAGAAAGGAAGGAAGGAAGGTGAATTGTTGTCTAGGAGGAGCCTGAAGTGGAATTAGGATCTTAAGGACTAAAACTTAGTATATATTAAAAGAATCTTTTGAGGTACTGGGAATCAAACCCAGATCTTTTGGGGGCCAGGGAGACGGCTCAGTGGAATAAGCGCTTCCTTGGCAAGCACAAAGGCCTGAGTTCAATCCCCGGTTCCGCCAAAAAAAACCACCCAAAAGCCCAGATCTTTGCACACACTGGGCAGGTGTGTTACCTGTGAGCTGTATCCTTAGCCCAAAATACACGTTTTAGTAAGAATTTGGGGCTGGGGATGTATAGCTCAGTGGCACAAGCACCCACCTAGCAAGTGCAAGGTCCTGACTTCAATTCCCAGTACCCCACCCAAAAAAAAATGAGGGCTGATCATGGTGGTACACACCTACAGTTCCACCACCTGGCAGCCTGAGGCAGGAGGATCACCAGGAGTTGGAGGCTATCCTGGAATATATAGTTCAAGGCCAACTTGAATTACACAAGACCCTGCCTCAAACCCACCATACCAAAAAGGGAACTTGGGCAGTTATATACAATTTGTTTGTTCTGTGGGATTATTATCTTATGATTTTTATTCTGAGACAGGGGTCTCTATATCACCCAAGCTGGTCTTGAACTTGTTGCTAAAGGATCCTTAAACCTTAGCCTCCCAAGTAGGTAGCTGGGACTGCAAGTGCACACCACCACACACAACAGGGGTTTTTTGGTTTTCTTTTTAACAACAGTTTTTTGTAATGAGTGACTCTTGCCCCAGCTGGTCTTAAACCCGTGGGTTCAAGTGATACTTACACCTCAGCCTCTAAATAGCTGGAATTACAGACACACATTACTGCGCCTGGTTTTATGTAGTTTTATAATAACTTTGTTTTTTTTTTTTTTTTTT